TGCCCCCTGCCCACAGGTCCCCCCAGGTTAAAGGTCGTAAGGTTCTCATTAGCAGCTTTGAGAATTTCCTTGTATATTATGCTCTCCCATCAGGGGGCTCTGGCTTTGTAGGACCAACCCTGCCAGGCAGGCTCAGAATCTTGAGGGGGCGGTGCTGCTCAAGTAGGTCTCTGACCGCATTTATTTCTCTATTTAGGCTGCATATTCACAGCAAGTCCATAAAATAGATGGGAACTTCTCTTTGGTGTATGGGTCGCTCAGGTGGGTGTCCAGGTTATAGGGTTAGGGATCTTTCCATCATGATAGGACAATGAATAATTAGATTAGATGTATACTATATTTAAAAATGTATATCCCTCATCTACACAAAATTGAAAGCTCTCTCTCTCACTACCCCTGTTCATAGACCCCCCGGTCGGCTCTGGGATATGCAACCATTTCCCCTCTCACTCACTTAACGCCGTACCTTTTCAAACACAAAAATGCACACCACATGGTTGACTGCGGAAGAAATGGGCCGAGCGTGCAAATGCACCCGCATCCACATCTGCTGCAAGGGGGAAAGGACGCCAGAGAGAACACAGGACCAACCACAACAACCATCCGCCAAAACAACAACCTCCCGCCAAAAAATCCATGTTCTAATTATTTGTATATAAAGATGTATTATTCTGCTTGTTATATCGTTTTATCCATTTATAAAATACTATACTTACTATAAATATTATTTAATATTACAATCCCTATCATTGCTAGTATCAGGTGCTCCAATATTTGACTCCTCCATTACAACTTTTAGAAGAGCCATGGAGTAGTCTTTGTGTCTCTGAACATTTGGTTGTCAATATATAATTTATCCACCACTAGTGCAACACGTTTCCCTTTTAATCTGTTTTCCTTGAAGATTGGATACAGAACTTTGCACCTTTCTACAATCTCCTTCGGGAACTGATCATTCATGCCTATTTTCGTGCCAGCAAGTCTTTTTCCCAGGCTTTTCACCATAGCTTTGTCCTTAAAAAAAGCAAATTTGGCAACGATTGGGCGCTCATATTTCTGTCCTCTTTTTCCGAAACGATGTACACGTTCGAGTTGGATTTTATCGACAGCCTCGAGTGGGATTTGTAGCGCTGTATGCAGGAAGTCCTTCATAATATTCTCTGTTATTTCTCCCTCCTTTTCCTGAATACCCGTAAGTACTAGATTTGCTCTTTCTTGCGTGATACACACTGGACTGGAGATGCACCTGGATATACAGTATCACAAATTTAAAAAATCATAAGTTACAATATAAAGTAATATGATTAATAAAAAAATCTAACCATGTTCTTAGACCACACAATTATGGTCTGACTCACCCTTCACAGTCAGCTCAGCAGTTGACTGGGCGTCTTTAGTCTTGCAGGTGTATTTCCCAGCGTCACTCTCCTCCACGTCATGGATGAGCAGTTTAGTGATACGTCCCTCCTGCTTCATCTCATATTTGTCTCCAGACTTCAGGATGACTCTCCCCTTCCTCCAGTCCACTGGGGCTCCAGGCTTGGAGAGCTCACACCAGAACTCCCCACTGTCCCCCTCTTTGATCATGGTGTTCTGGGGCTGGCGCTTGAACGTCACAGGGAAAGCTGTGGAAACGTTAACATTGGTTCATATTGTATGAGCGCAAGAAGTATAAATACAACCCCACTATCTGTGTATGGTCTCAAAGCAGGAGTCACTCAACCCTTCCACCTCTAAATAAGTAAATGTTCTAAGACAGTGGTGTCAAACTCATTTTGCCCCGGGGGCCGCATTCTGTCTTCAATGAGGTCTGGAGGGCCGCACTGATTAAAAAAAATATTTCCTCACCGTCAAAACGATTTTCAAAAAAATCCTGCGGGTCGGATTGGACCCCTGTTCTAAGAGGTTATTTGGGAAGGAAAAGCATTGATATAGATCAAATGTTTCTTACCTTGCACTTTAACAGCAGCGGTGGTCTTCTGGTCTCCAGTGACACAGCTGTATTTTCCCATGTCCTCCGGTTGCACGTTGGTAATGGTCATCTCAGCGATCCTCGCCTCCAGTTTGATCTGGTATTTTCCCCCTAACAGGTCCTGGGACAGTTCTGTCTCCCCCCTCCACCACTCCACCGGGACGCCAGACTTAGACAACTCACAGCGCAGGGTCACACTGCCCTTCTCTTGGGCCTCCTGGTTCTTCAGACCCACTCTGAAGGTGGCGGGTACAGCTGAGGGAACCAAGAGAGATAGGAAGTCAGCGAGGACATTTGATCAAAGAGTGAACATTGAACACGGTGAAATCTAGAACAGCCCTGAGAAACCTTTACCCTTCACCAGATAAGATGAAGGACATTGAATGAAGCCTACACTGGAGCTAACGGCTCAAGTTAAGTCAGGCATTGAACATTTAACCAAGTTTATGTGAGATGAGCACCAGTGAAAATGGTTTCATTAGAGCACAAAGTGTTATTCCCCCTACCAATGACTTTGACTGTGGCCTTGGTCTTCTGGTCTCGACACACACAGCTGTAGACTCCACTGTCCTCAGGCAGAGGCTCCCTGATGACGAGCTCCAGTGCCAAGCCTCTCTGCTTCATCTGATACTTGTCTCCATTTTGCAGTATCATCTCTCCTCCCAGCCTCCACTCCACAGGGACCCCTGATTTAGAAAGCTCACAGTGCAGGCTGATGGTGTTCCCTTCCTCGGTCTGCAGATTCCTCAGCTTTTGCTTGAAAGTGATGGGAATTGCTGAAAGAAACCATAGCAATGAGAAACATGTAATTTGATGCTGATGTGAATTTAATTATATTCTCAATGGTCTCCAACCCTTACCCGTGACAGTAACACCGGCTGTGGTCTCCACATTGCCACAAACGCAGGTGTAGATATTGCTGTCTTCAGGTTTTGTATCCAGAATCTTCAGTTCATTCACCAACTCTCTCTGCTTTATCTGAAACTTCTCTCCATTGTTCAGCAGCTCCTCTCCTCCCATTATCCATTCCACAGGGACTCCTGGTTTAGAGAGCTCACAGTGTAACACCAAATTGTTCCCCTCCTCAACCTGCACGTTCCTCAGCTTTTGTTTGAAGGTAACGGGCAGGGCTGAAGAAACATGGAAAATCATTTAATGAGAATAGTACAAACTGTAATGTATTATGGCCTTCATGTAAATGACCAAATTGTAAATGTAGAAAATGTAACTTCTAGAAAGATCAGCTGCACGGGAAAACGTAATAAGGCTGAGGAAGTTCCTACCGCTGATTTTGACGGTGGCCGTGGTCTTTTGGTCTGCACACTGGCAGCTGTAAACTCCACTGTCTTCTGGCACCGCTTTCCATATCTGAAGCTCCGATATGGTCTCTCTCTTCCTTATCTGGAACTTCACTCCAATCCTCAGCAGCTCCTCTCCTTTCTTCCACTCTACGGGGACTCCCGGTTTGGAGAGCTCACAGCGCAATGTGAAACTGTTGCCTTCCTCAGCCTGAACATTCTTCAATTGTTGTTTGAAGGAGATGGGGATAGCTGGCGAGTAAATATGCGTTTTAGTATTAACCACCAACAGGCATGACGACTGAAAGAAAATGAAATGTATTTCCATTCATGTTCAGATAGATGATCTTTATTTTATGGGTGTGATAGTTAGGGCTGTCAAACGATTAAAAAAATATGTTATCGAGTTAATCGCAGGATTTGCTGTGGTTAATTACAATTCATCGCAAATTCAGAATTTGCTCTAATTTTGCTGTCATTTAAGATTGTTATGCAAAAAGCATTACACGAATATTGATGTCTTGATTTTGTCCAAAGTAAATGTTCGCAAAATCAGGTAAATTGATAATACAACATTGCAGTTATTGAATGACTCCATACGATGCATCCTGGGAACAGAAATGAAAAACAAGAATGTATTTTTACCGTGGACTGTGAGGGTGGCTGTCGTTCTGTGGTCTCGGCACTGACAGGTGTAGTCTCCTGAGTCTTCAGGCTTCGGGCCGGTGATGGTCAGAGAGATGAGGGACTTCTTCTGCTTCATCAGGTACCTCTCTCCAGCCCTGAGGTTCTCCAGGCCCCTCCTCCAGTGGAACGCAACCCCCGGCAGGGAGAACTCACACCACAGGGTCACATCCTCCCCCTCCTTCACCTCCATGCTCTGCAGCGGCTGGGTGAACTCAGCTGGGATGGCTGGAACAGAAAGATGGAACCATGAATAAGCAAGAGGAGCTGAAGAAAACCGGTAAAGAAGTAATCCTGTTCTATGTCTTTTGAAGGAAATTTTGATCATATTCCACTATCTCCACTATCTCATATACAGTACTTCTTTATATGTAATGCCAAATGCATAGTAAGAACAACAACAACATGATAAAATATCTCAAAACAGAGGACCTGTTCTTACCTTTCACATTGACGACGGCCTTGGTGCTGACCGATCCAGCGCTGCACTCGTACACCCCAGCATCGCTGTTACTGACCTCCCTGATGGTCAGCCTGGCCTCGTTACCTGAGCGACTGACGTAATACCTTGAGGAGCTCCACATTAGGCAGCCATCTTTGTACCACAGGATGTGGCATGGCTTAGAGGTCATACACACAAGCACCAAACTGCCTCCCTCAATGGCCTCACAATCCTCCAATGTTTTGGTAATGGTTGGACGTCTCTCTTAACCACATGAAAGGTAGATTACATAGACAACTGTGTCAAATACATAAACTCTGGACAAAAATGATTTACATATGATTGACATAGTTTCATTTTGGGAATAGGTGTTGTAATATTACAGTGTTTTTAGATGTTTGTAAATCAGAACAAGTTTACGCTGAAGTTACCTCTAACAAGCAATGAGGCGTAGGACCTCTTGTCGCCTGCCTCGAAGGAGATGGTGCCCGAGTCTTTACGGGCCAGCTGTTTGAAGGTTAAGCTGTGGTATCCCCCCGGGACCACCTGGATCTCATTCAGCTTGTTGGTGTACAGTAAGGTCTCATCCAGGTACCACTTGACCCCAACATAGTCGCTGGGACAGATACGGCACCTGAACATCACCGTGTCATTCTCCAGACACTCAACGTCCTCCAACTCATCCATGATCAACACCTTCTGACCTGGAGGGATCACACAAGGGTTTAACATTAAACATACACAAACTGTATAGAAAGGAGTACACTCAATATGGCTGTCAAAAGCCAACCTAAAACAGAACTTTGACTTGAATGAAAATGTCTGTTCTATTAATTATATTTCTATGGCCTTACCATGCACGGTCACTAGCGCCCGGCTCTGCATGGTGCCAACGTCGCAGGTGTACACGTCCGTGTCACCCTTCTCCAGGCAGCTGATTGTGAGGGAGAGGACTACGCCCTTCTGTTTCATCACATACTTCTTGCCCGCCCGGAGCTCCGCCATGCCCTTCAGCCAGGTCACCCGCTTGGCCGGCAATCTCGTCTCACACTCCAGCGTCACCTTGCTCTTCTCCTCAGCCTGTGCCTCCCGCAGCTCACGTGCAAACATGTGCTGCAGCTCTGCAAGGGTGGGAGGGGTTAAATAAATGTCCTGTGTGCTACACCTGAGCAGGTGTGGGAGGGGTTAAATACACTTCCTGTGTGCTACATCCAAGCAGGTGTGTGAGGGGTTAAATACACTTCCTGTGTGCTACATCTGAGCAGGTGTGGGAGGGGCTAAATACACTTCCTGTGTGCTACATCTGAGCAGGTGTGGGAGGGATTAAATACACTTCCTGTGTGCTGCACCTAAGCAGATGTGTGAAGGGGTTAAATACACTTCCTATGTGATACATCTGAGCAGGTGTGGGAGGAGTTAAATACACTTCCTGTGTGCCACACCTGATTAGGTACAAAAGCAGTCCAGAAACTGGCCAGAACATTTCAAAACAAGTCTTTCAGGTAATCAGTCTCAAGTCAAAGTTGAGTCCGGAGTCTTGAGGTTCTGAGTCAAAGTCGAGTCGCAATTAATCTAATTTGCATTTGACACGAATACAAAACATTGCAAAACAACACTATACCGTTACACAGTAATACTGTAGTACTACCCAGTACTTGCCTCTGACCTCCAGCTTAGCCCGGGTGGCAATGCCGTCTGCTTCACAGCAGTACTCCCCAGAGTCTCTGATGCAGGTGTTCGTGATCACCAGCCGTACCAGGTGGTCCTCCACATTGATCTCGTACTTGTGGGGGCTGTGCCTGATCTGATGGCCATTCTTCAGCCAGCGTATGAAGGCCTCAGGCTTGGTGATCTCACAGCTCAGCTCAGCGTCCTCCCCTGGGGTGGCTTTGACATTCATCATGTCCCTGAAAACATGCACTGGCTTCTCTATAGGAGGAAGGATATACAGTATAACATTATAGCAGGTTTTCTCTAGGGACAAATACAGTATAACATTACAGCAGGTTTTCTCTAGGGACAAATACAGTATAATCTGTTTACAGGCCTTCTATCTGGACACCCACATGTTGCAACAGGCCCACCTTAGGAACAAACATACGTTACATAGTAAAACGTATAGCCTGAGTGCCATCCTACTGTTGCTTTTCAAGAGGTTAGATCAAGGATAATGTGACTGGCCCGGATGACACACAGGTTCGTACACAGTTCAGACAGACACGCTTCAGTCACTCACCTCTGACAAATAGCATGGTCCTGCAGCTGAGGTCTTTGATGAAGAAGACTACGTCCCCGGCGTCCGTCAAGGTTGCATCTCTGATGGTCATCTTGTACTTGCGGCCCTTGTTTACGCTCTGGAAGCGGCTGTTGCTGACCACAAGTTGACCGTTCAGGGTCCAGGAGGGCTCGTCGATGACATCATGAGAGAGGACGCACTCGAAACTGCAGCTCTCACCCTCCAGAACAGAGGCCGTCTTCATACGCTGGGCAATGGTGATGTGAAGGTCTGTGGTGGGAAATGTCAGTGAGATCAGATGGACAATTGATAGACGATCAAATGGGCATTTCTGGTTTGGACCAGACCTCGTTGATGACAAGGACGATACGTACCATGTACAGTGACCTTGGCCTTGGTCTGGCTGGTGCCCAGGTCACAGCTATAGTGGTCAGCATCATCCTTACTCAGACTATGGATGATGAGCGCTAAGGACTTCCCAAACTTGAGCAGCTCATACTTGTCACTGCTGGCAAGGACTGTACCATCCTTCCTCCAGACGGGGGTGACCGTTTCCTTAGAGGTCTCACACTGCAGACACAACTTCCCCTCCTCCTCCCCTGACATGTCTTCTAGAGACCTCAGGAACACCGCTGGCTTTTCTGGAGGAGACATTAAACAGTACAAACACATTAGCTACTGATTTTTTTATTGAACCTTTATTTAACTAGGCAAGTCAGTTAAGAACAATTTCTTATTTACAATGACGGCCTACACTGGCCAAACCAGGACGACGCTGGGCCAATTGTGTGCCGCCTTATGGACCTCCCAATCACGGCCGGATTGTGATACAGCCTGGAATCGAACCATGGTCTGTTGTGACGCCTCTAGCACTAAAATGCAGTGCCTTAGACCGCTGCGTCACTCGGGAGCCCTAATCTTGATCTCATCTTTCACATTCTTCCAAGCATCAGTGGCTCTTAGATCTCTTGCTTGTCTAAAGTTACTGAAGGATAGGACTGTTACGGTGACCGCGTTATCGCCACACCGGCGGTCAAGAGTCATGGTGGCAGTCAAATTCCACGTGACCATTTAGTCACGGTAATTAGGCTTCTCCAAGCTGTGATGCTGCTGATGGTCATTAGTAGCCTACCAAACTTGCCTGGTGCTCAGCACTCTATTGTCCCTCTAATCACTCTGACGTCGATCCCATCAGCTTTCTATAGGCTAGGCCTACTATATTTACTTCTCAACTTACTGTCATGAACCTTGCGTCCTGAGTCTGTTCCTGCCTGTGTTGCCGTTTTTCTGCTCGGTATCTCCTGTTTCCTGTAGGTGCCTGAACGCACCCTGTCCGGTTGCCGGGCGACGTTGCTAGGCGGGTGATCTCTCGATTAACCACACCTGCTTCTCATCAGCCTCGGCACACCTGGTCCTGATCATCACCCCTTCTTAAGCTCTGACCTGACATCCATTCCCTGCCGGATCGTTAGCCATTAACAGTATGTTTTGTCAGCGTATCAGCCTCTGAGTACTAGCGTTAGTTTTGTTGTTTTTGCACCTTGTTGACCTGCCTTGTACTTACCTCCGTTTTTTCTGTCTACAGTCATTCTCCCGGAACCTTCACCCAACCCCTTCCGTGCCATCATTTAATCTGCCACTTCACCTCCATCTACTCATCTCCGCCACCCGCTCCGTCTCCTGGATTATTCTGCATCTTTTGAATCTGTAAATAAACCCTCACCTTCGTTCAACTCACCGTGTCCTGGTCTGCTTCTGGGTTCTGTCTTAGAGAACCGTGACAGAACGATCCGGCCAGAAATGAACCCAGCGGACCTGGACTCGGTTCGCCATGCCATTACCCATCAGGAGAAGATGTTGGGACAACATAGCACGGCGCTACAGGAGATAGCGTTGTCAGTTCGGAACTTTTCTACCAGTCTGACGAAGATCCAGGCTCAGCTCAGTTTGCCGGTGGAGAATCCACCACCGGTTTCACCCATCTCGCCTGCCGCTTCTGGAGCTGTGCCCTTCCGTGAGCCCAAGGTTCCGACGCCTGATAAATATGAGGGGGAATTGGGAAGATGCCGTTCCTTTCTTGTGCAGTGTGGATTAGTGTTCGATCTACAGCCCCACTCTTATGCCACAGACAAGGCTAGGATAGCCTTTGTCATTGAATTGCTGCGTGGTAGAGCCCTGGAGTGGGCTTCAGCCGTATGGGAACGACAGGACACGTGCATGGCTTCATACCAGGAGTTCACGGCAGAGATGAGGAAGCTGTTTGACCATCCTGTCCGAGGTAAGGACACAGCTAAGCGCCTGTTTTCTCTTCGCCAAGAAGCTCGCAGAGTTGCCGACTTCGTAATAGAATTCAGGACATTGGCTGTGGAGAGTGGGTGGAATGAAGAGTCACTGCAAGCGGCCTTTTATCAGGGGTTGTCAGAGCAACTCAAGGATGAGCTGATCTCCTATCCGGAGCCTAGTGACCTGGACAGTTTGGTCGCTTTGTCTATTCGGGTGGATAACAGAGTTCGAGAGAGAAGGAGGGAGAAGCAATGGGGCCCGTCCAATCAATCAGCTTCTCGGTTCCCAGTCGGGTCAGGAGGTGGACCAGAACGCGTCGATCATTGTCCACCACACAGGATTAGTGGAGAGGTCCTGCCTCCAGATTCTGAACCCATGCAAGTGGGGCGGCACGGGTTAACCAAGGAGGAGCGCCAACATAGACGTGAGACCAACCGCTGCCTCTACTGTGGTGGGTCGGGACATTATATCTCCACTTGTTCCCAGCGGCTGTCAAACTGCCCGGCTCGCTAAGTTTGGGAGGACTTTTAGCGAGCCGGTTTCAACCTCTCAATACCCCTGTCAGACCCCGTTTCCCGGCTACCCTCATGAACAGGAATCAGAGTTTAGCAATTAACGCTTTCATCGATTCAGGTGCCGATGGCAGCTTTATTGACGCCGACGTGGTGGAACAGCTGGGGCTTCCCAAGGAGTGACTACCGGAAGCCATTGAAGCGACCACTCTGAACGGCAGTAGTCTGGCACGTATCACGATGAGGACGGAACCGGTTAAGATGCTGTTGTCGGGGAATCATTCTGAGGTTATCTCATTCTTCATTCTGCCTTCTCCCCATGTTCCTCTGGTCCTTGGATACCCCTGGCTGAAGGAACACAATCCCACGTTCGATTGGGTGACTGGCAAGGTAACTAGTTGGAGCATTGATTGTCATGCTAACTGCCTCAAGACTGCCTGTTCCCATTCTGTTTCCAGTCAGGTCAATGAGGCTAACCCCCCAGATTTGTCCCTGGTCCCCGAAACATATCACGATTTGGGGGAGGTGTTCAGTAAGCAGAGGGCTCTGTCACTTCCTCCCCACCGACCATATGATTGTGCCATAAACCTGTTCCCTGGAGCTGTCTATCCCAAGGGACGGTTATACAGCATCTCTCGACCTGAACGTGAAGCTTTGGAGACCTACATAAAGGAGTCCCTAGCTGCTGGTCTCATTCGTCCCTCGTCATCACCCCTGGGGCCAGGATTCTTCTTTGTGAGTAAGAAGGATGGCTCTCTTCGACCTTGTATTAATTATCGGGGGTTGAATGATATCACGGTCAAGAACAAGTATCCCCTGCCCTTGATGAGTTCTGCTTTCGACTCCTTACAGGGTGCTACGGTGTTCACCAAGCTGGACCTACGCAATGTGTATCATCTGGTCCGGATCAGAGAGGATGACGAGTGGTTGACTGGTTTCAATACACCGATGGGTCATTTCGAGTATCAGGTGATGCCGTTTGGACTGACCAATGCTCCAGCAGTGTTCCAGAGTATGGTGAATGACGTCCTGAGAGATATGATCGGTCTTTTTGTGTTCGTTTACCTGGATGACATTCTTATCTTCTCTAAGGAGCCTTCCAGCCCCGTCCAGCATGTCAAGCAGGTTCTGCAACGATTGTTGGAGAATCGCCTGTTTGTGAAGGCCGAGAAATGTGAATTTCACACCCACACTACATCCTTCCTCGGGTACATCATCTCCAGGGGAGAGATTAGGATGGACCAAGAGAAGGTTAGGGCGGTTCTGGATTGGGCCCAGCCCGGTAAGAGATTGCAGCTTCAGAGGTTTCTGGGGTTTGCGAATTTCTATCGTAGATTTATCCGTGATTACAGCCGTGTGGCCGCTCCTTTAACTGCCCTGACTTCTAGTACCAGAACCTTCAGTTGGAATCCTGAGGCGGACCGAGCATTTCTGGATTTGAAGAGGTGATTCACCAACGCTCCGATTCTCTCTCAACCTGACACTGCCCGTCAGTTTGTCGTTGAGGTGGATGCGTCTGATGTGGGGGTTGGCGCCATCCTGTCCCAGCGATACTCCACTGACGGTAAACTCCATCCCTGCGCCTACTATTCTCGTCGACTTTCGTCTGCGGAGAGGAACTACGATGTGGGTAACTGGGAGCTTCTCGCAGTGAAACTTGCCTTGGAGGAGTGGCGCCACTGGTTGGAGGGGGCGGAGCAACCGTTTGTTGTCTGGACTGACCACAAGAATCTTGCTTACGTGCAATCGGCTAAACGTCTCAACTCCAGTAAGGCCAGGTGGTCGTTGTTTTTTGGACGCTTTAATTTTTCCTTGACGTTCCGACCGGGGTCTAAGAACGGCAAGGCGGACGCCTTGTCCCGGATGTTCTCCAAGACGGAGGAGAGTGGGGCCAAGACTGCGACGATTCTTCCCCGGAACCTTGTCGTAGGAGCCGTTATGTGGAGGATTGAGGAGGAGGTTATGGCGGCCCTTCGGACGCAGCCCGGCCCCGGTAACGGTCCACCCGGTCGGTTGTTTGTGCCTGAGTCGGTCCGATCGGCTGTCCTCCAATGGTCCCACGCCAGCAAGATGGCTTGCCACCCTGGCGTGGCTCGGATGATGGCGCTTCTACGCAGACGATTTTGGTGGCCTGCCATGGGAGAGGATACTCTGAGGTTTGTTGATGCCTGTCCAATTTGTGTGCAGAACAAGAGTGCCAATCGGCCCAGCTCTGGACTTCTTCACCCCCTACCTATCCCCCGGCGACCATGGTCGCATCTGGCCCTGGACTTTGTCACTGGGTTGCCCTCTTCTGAGGGGAACACGGTCATTCTGACTATTGTGGACAGATTCAGCAAGTTTGCCCACTTTGTGCCCATCTCCAAGCTTCCCTCTGCCTCTGAGACGTCCAAGATCCTGGTTAGGGAGGTTTTCAGGGTTCACGGATTGCCCAGTGACATAGTTTCCGACCGTGGTCCTCAGTTCACCTCTGCTGTCTGGAAGTCCTTCTGTTTGGCCATTGGAGCTACAGTCAGTCTCACATCTGGATTTCACCCCAATCCAATGGACAGGCGGAGAGAGCCGACCAGAAGATGGAATCCACGCTGCGCTGCCTTGTTTCCTCCAACCCCACCTCTTGGGTCTCTCAGTTGCCTTGGGTTGAGTATGCCCACAATACTCTCCCTACTTCTGCCACTGGGATGTCTCCCTTCCAGTGCCTATACGGCTACCAATCCCCCTTGTTTCCTTCTCAGGAGAAGGATCTCTCGGTTCCCTCTGTCCAGGCTCACATTCGTCGTTGCCACCGGACCTGGCATCAGGCCAGAAAGG